TCTTGAAAGAGCCAGCAGCGGTCGCCCGCCAGATCTAGCCGCAGGCAAGGGCCGCGACCCTTGCTTGCTGGCCCTTCCGAGAAGTGAATTGTGAAAAAAAAGAAAAGAAAAATTTATAAAAAACTTGGAAAAATTTTAGCAAATGTTATAAAATGGTCGGCGTCAACAATGGCCATTCTCCACGGTCAAGCCACGTAAGATGGCTGGCGGCAACGTTTTTTTATTTCCGTCCAATTTTCATTAAAAAAACTACGTTGACAAATTATCAAAAATTTTAGGACTAAATTTGGCCAATTTAAAATTCAAGATTAAATTGGCCGTCGGATAATAGGTATGAGACTTTTTAAACAATTTTCCTAGTTTTTTTTTTCGGGACTTGTTTTGGTGAGAATTGAGATGAGTTCATCAAATAGTTTTGATTGATGGATTCAATAGTAAGTGAGAAAAAATTTAGTCTTTAGAGATCATTGGTGAACGAGGAGTGATCAATTTCAGTGTGCGCCAATTATCGATCTAGAACTAGGAACTGACCATGCAACCATAAGTTCCAAAATAAAACTGGTTGGTTTTGAGCCACTAGGTCATGAATCGCCCTGTTTTATGTTTTAGGTAAAAAAAATTTAACTTCTTATAGTAAGTTGCACCATTTCCTATAAAAATATTTGTTGAACAAGTAGTCATATTGTTGTTCGTTCATGTTAAAAACTATGGTTCAATTCCTGATGGGTGCTAAAGTATTTTTTTTCTAAAAGATGCTTCAAAACCGATTTAATAGTGATTTAACTTAGGAACTAGATTGTTTAAACCGGTTCCTGGATAAAACTGGCGGTTCCGACCTTGGAACCGGGAACTGAATCGGTCTAGGGCCGGTTTCAGGTTCATAAAACTAGATAACAAACCGGTTTTCCCAAAAAATCGGCCCTAAACCGGTTGGTCCAAGTTGATTCGCTCATGTTCAGACTAAACGAGACCTGATTCTCACCGCTTGTGATGTGCTCTACATCCACCTTAATCAATCTCTCTGCGTAATTCGTCTATCATAATCCTACTAGATGTAAATTCGCTCATTACCTAACATGACTAAAAATCACAGTGCCATTATCTAGTTTGTTGCCTATTAAAAGCATCAATACACATGTTCTTGCATATGTCTAATTGGATTGCGTGCATCACACTAGGTAATGTTCTAATTCTTTGTTTATAAAAGCGAAACGGTGGTGAATAGTAAAAGGGTGATGTGGCTTATCCACAATTTTTTTTTCATTTTTGTTTAGACCAGGTGAGTGTTTTTAATAGTTTTTGTCTTGTCTTTTCTTCTTTTTTTTTTTTGGTCGACATATGGTGGTGAGTGATTTTTTAAAGATTATTTTTTTTATATCCAATTGTTGAACAATATTGGAAATTCAACCGTTGCTAATTTTTTTTTTATTTTCAATCTCAAAACTATTCGACCAAAGAAAATCTCAAAACTAAATTTAAAAATGTAACACGCTTTGTTTATTTTCTCTCCATTTTGGCTGAGAGCTGGTCAGCGAGTTTCTTTCATAATTTGGGAAAAGTTCAAATTAGGATCTGAAATGCACCCATTTTCTCAAATAAGGGACTGAAGTGGACTTTGTGTTAATAAGGACATGAAGAGCCCTCATTTTTTCAAATAAAGGTCTGAAGAGGATTTTGTTTTAAATAAGAGCATGAAGTGGCTATGTCTGTTTCCAATAATTACCTAACTTTCTAGATGGTACGGGTATTTTCTTTTTTAACTTTTTTTTTCTTTTTTTTCTTTGTTTTTCCTTTCTTTTCTTTTTTTCATTTTTTCTTTCTTTTTCTGGTTTTCTCTTTGTTCTTCGCCGGTAGCCAGCAACCTGCCACCAGCAAAGCTCGGGAAGGGCTAGGCGAAGGTGGTGAGGGACGGCTAGGGGTGGCCGATGAGACCTTCGCCCAGGCAAGGTCGGCCCTCGCATGTGGCTATCGTGGACAGCCTTGCCCAAGGTGAGGGTCACCTCGCCGGCAGCTAGCGAGGCGGCCCTCACCCAACCCTTCCTTAGCTTCACCAGTGGCTGATCGGCCACCAGCAAAGAACAAAGAGAAAACCATAAAAGTAAAAAAGAAAAGAAAGGAAAAATAATTTAAAATGAAAATTGTCTTTAAACAAAAATGCCCTTGACTGGCCGGAATATTTTGCTGGCCAACGAGGTCAGGCCCTTATTTGAAATTGACATGACCACTTTAAACACTTATTTGAGACTGACATGCTGCTTCAGGCCCTTATTTAGAATTTTCCCTCATAATTTTTATCTCGTCTTTTTTTTTCTAATATTAGACATGGTGAGTGACTTTCACATATCACTTTTTGTCCAATTCTTGTACAACACTGGAGGTTATTCGCCAAAATCTTTGCAAAAACCCACATCAATTCACACGAGATTTTTCGATTTTCCGAGTAGTTCAACTCATCGGCGGCAAATTTCTCATATAAATAGTATACGCCGTGCTCTTTATCGTCCTCCTGTCCTTTGTCGGGCGAGCGTCAGGCCATGAGATTCTCGAACGTGGATAGAACTATGGGGAACAACAAAATCCACACTCGAATGATAGATTAATTCGGATACAAAGAAATCGGATCGAGACTCCGATACCTAAGTCAGGAGATCCCACTCGAGAAATTTAGGCTGTCAAAAAGGGAAACTACACAAATGTTCGGCGCCCGGCAATTTCACAGTCAAGCTACGCAGGACATATTTCCAACATGCAAACTATCGAAGCGAAACACTAGATTCTTTGTTTCCTTACAATTTCGAACGTCCATTGGCGACGAGTCTAATCAGATGGCGCCGTGCACGAACAAATGCGTCGCCATAAGCGTGGACATGTAAAGTCGCATCAAGAAAGAACAAGGGAGAGTGCACGATGTGGATTCCTTGTGGATGGAACTCACAACAAGCACCCAATCGCAAGTGACAAATCACCAAAAGGAGAAAGATTAACAAAATCATGTCGGGATAAGAAAAGAGTCAAATCTGCGAAAGCAATTTAATAAAAAAATCAAACGTAAGCGACCAATTGAATTCTAACCTTTGACATGCACATGAGAACAAAAGAGGAGGGGATGACCAAAGCTTGTGGCGGTTTGGTCGGCGCAGTTAATAAAACGAAGAATGGAAGGTGGAAGGTGGGCATCTTAACGTCATTTCTTCATCTGACCAAAACCCACCCTTCAACTTCAACCCCAATCTCTACTCATCGGATGTTTTGTGATACCTAAAAAATAACTCGTGTGGACAGATTTTGTTTTTATTAGTAATATCTTGGAGGACTGTAGTAGACTCGTTAAATGGGTAGGTCGGGTTGGGTTTGGATCGGGTCATAAATGGTCCGATCCAACTTAACCCATTTAACTCGTATATGACCCATTTATCACAAGGCAAAAATCTTGACCCATACCTTATCCGATCCATACCCAACCCATTTAACTAAATCTAGGAAAGCTTATTTCTGATAATTATTTTAAAAAATTGTGTTGCTAAAATATTTTCATTCAATACAAATCTTTTAGAAAAAATTAAGACTCCATTTATTTCGCAGAAAATATAACATTTCTGGAAAATGTTTTTAGGAAAATGACAGTATTTTCTGATAATTGGATGAAACATGGAAATGAACTAGAAAGTATTTTCCTAAAAACATTTTCAGTATTTTCTGATAATTGGATGAAACGTGGAAATGAACTAGAAAATATTTTCCACCGTTTGGTACGAAAAATCATATTTTCCTCTATGCACTCATTTTAATAGTTTAATATTTTTATATTTATTTTTAAAAAATCATATTTTAATTATTTTTCTTTTTCTTTTTTTTCCTTTTCTTTTTTCTTTTTTCTTCTTCCCCCGCCGGAAAAAGAAAAAGAATATAAAGAATATAAAAATTATAAAAATCAGAAAATTAAAAAAATTGAAAATTTCACTTAAGCTTTTTGGATAACCCATTTATGACCTATTTAATATCCATGTAAGACCATTAAGTTAATAAACAATCCATTAATGACCCATTTAAGTCTATTTTTAAAACTAAACCTAACCCATTTATAACCCACAATCATTAAATATGGGTTATTATATGGGTTCTTGACCCATTTACCACCTCTAGGTTGTAGGGACGACTCGATCTTGGATGTTTGAATTGTGGGGTAATGTGAGGAGCAACTGTGGCTCAAATCGAACATTTTATAACGAGTGTGAAACCCTTATGATAACACTCGGAGGACATTGTTGGCACTAATCGGCCAATCCTTTTTTTTTTTTCTGAAAGAAAGGATTGGGTGCAAAATAGATTCAATTTAACCTTTTGGAATCATAATCCATCATTTCAATCCTCAACTAAATTTTTCAATAAGTAATATATCAGAAGTTTTGTGTGTTCTTGAACCCCGACATCTAGTGCGCCCCATCTAACAATTGCATGCTTAGTGTTGGGAATTTCCCGAATTTTCTCTTTATATCAACAACACTTGAAAATTGAAAAAAAAAATTCACAGGGTTAAATGGAGCTTAATCCTCAAATTGTTTACAATCGTGTACGATCTAATAACAAGAGCACATAAAGTGCAAGTTGTGATCGAACGATGCTATCCTTGTCATCTCGAACGAGCGTCTTTCTTTTCACGGCGCGTGTATTGACCATCATTGAATGCGAGATGAAATGATTACCGAAATTGATAGATAGTACATCTCGAAAGTAATAAGCGAAGTACTTTCGGGAACTTTCATGCTCTTTTAAGAAATCAATCTCCCTCGTGTCGCGTCGATTCAAACTCACGTGCCCGTAATTCTCCCGTAAAACATAAATATTTCTCATAATTTCCCAAACCGATAATCAAAATTTATTTATTTTTCTCGATGCGAAAGTGCCACCAATCTCTGTTCTCCCACCCAACCTCGGCCAATATACATCCTCGTTTCCCACAGAGTCACGAGCCACTGGTCACACTACTGCCAAAGGGGCCGGTGGTGGACTTGCGGATGACGTGGAATTTACCGTCTTACCCAGGACGAGCTGCTGACGTCACCGAGCACGAGGCCCCGCCCCTCGTGCCCATGGAAGTAATTTCGCCCCAGTCGTTGGGAGGCGAAAGGGGGGGGCGCCTTCGGTTCGGTGGTCCGGTTGGTGGGTCCCCCTCGGGGGTGGGCATCATCGTTACAAAAGCACGGGAACCTCGGAATTTCGGTCTGAAACTTTTCGAGATTCTTGAGGTCTCTCTGCCTTTTGTCTCTCTCCCCTTCGCGTGCTGCTCCGACGACAAGAAGAAGAAGAAGAAGAAGAAGAAAGAAGAAGAAGAGATGATGGTGGAGCTGTTCGTGCTGGGTTGCACGGGGTTCGTGGTGTTCCTCCACGGGGCCAACTTCTTCTTCCACGTCCTCTCCCACCACTTGGCCATTCGATCCCTCAGGTTTCGCTGCTTCTGTTCCTGGTTCTTGATCCTGCTTTGCTTGTCCGATTCGGTTCGATTCGTTTGTCGTCCGATTCTTTAACTTTTAGCTTGAATTAGGGGGGGAAGATAGAGAAAAGGGGTTTGCCCTCGATTTCTGTGATTTCCCTGGGAATTGTCTTTCGTTCTTTTTGAATTTCCTTTGGTTTGTTTGGTTCTTTTGGCTGCAGCTTCCTGGGTTTTGTTGGCTGGTAGGAACCGATTAGAAGGAAGATGGAGAGGTCAGGCAATGAGGCGGAGTCCTTTTGACAGCATGCAGAAGATGGAACTTGGCCTCTGCTCTGACCATTTTGTAGATAACCTCATTTTGATTGATCTCGAAGGGATTATGTAGCTCGTAAATAACTCTCCAATGAGGGATTAAAGCCATTTTGCATGACACGGATGTGGCGAGACGATCGCCCGAAATTCTAATCCTTCAGTTGTTCATTTTGGTGTGACTCTCTCTCTCTCTCTCTCTCTCTGTACTCCTCTTTGCAAAGAGATCAGATAGATGATTGAGAGAGTTCATGCTAGTTTGGAATGATAGACTGAATTCTGTTTTAGGGTAAGTGAAGGTTCATGAATTTGAGTCACAAACCTTGTTATCGCTCTAATGGCGAGCAAGTATGACCGTCAGGAACGCATGAGTTAAGGCGGATGCAAGGTCGATCCTGCGCCAACTCAAGAACGAAGGGTTGTTGATGGTTCTGGGAATTTTTCAAAAGGGTTGTTGATCTTCATGTTCTTGAATTGATGCAAACTAAATTCTGTGAATGCTTCTTCTTCTTCTTCTTCTTCTTCGTTTGCCCCTCAACACCAACGCAAGTTCGCGGCCTTTTGGCCTGAAATTGCAGAACACTGCTTCAAGTCCCTTTGATCATGACTTGACAATGACTCCTCCTCAATCATATCAAAGTCAACATTGTCCCCAGCATGCATTGCCAGAAGCTAAAGCAGCTGCATAGTAGCAATTATACCCTCTGGTGATTGTGATGGAGTTCTATATGTCCAAGGACAGAGAATGAGATGATCTTGTCCTGATCTTTTGGAGATTTTCTTGTTTCTTTTAGCTCGATTTGAAGATTTGGAGTGCACTCAATGTTAAGGCGTTAATTCATTCTCATTGATGTTTTGAAGATCTGGGGTTTACTCAAGATGAAGCAAATATCATAAATAAATATAATTACATGCAAAACAATTGATGATCCTGATGGTTAAAACCTTACATCCGGTAAAAACAAAGTCCAACAGTTGGTATTATTCTTATCACTTTATAGTGGCCAAGAACAAAGTAAGTTAAATAACATGTGGATACCCATTTGACAAAGCACTTTGCTCTATTAACAAATAAAAGAGATTAAGATATTGATAAAAATATTTCATGACGAGATAGTACCTATACAGTAATCATATGTTTTAAGATTATCTAAACAAGATGATAACTACGTGCAAATGAAAATTAGCAAATTAATAATAAATTAATTCGGTCAACCACAAAGAGTTCATTGAAGTAAATAATTATTTTAAAAGAGCTCATAACATGATAGTGTGTATTTAATAATTATATGATGGTGGACGATAATAAAAAAAAATTACATAACATGATAGCTCCTACTTGGGAAAGAATTGAATAATATATAACTACATAATATCACAAGAAATTATCAATTCTTGCCAAAAAAAGATAGCATAGGCATCAAAGGAACAATTCGGTAAAAAATGAAACTAAAATATATGAAATTGAGAAGACGGTGTCAAAAAATTCACATCTAAGCCTCTAGAAAAAGAGAGAAGCAAACGGAACAAAGATGAAATTTGTTCTGGCCAGCAAATTGTTCCACACAAATGACATTTGTTAACAGTTTTCTTTATGCTAGCAAAAAGAAGCGCCCCCAATATGTAATGTTCAAATGGGAAAAAAGAAGAGCAAAAGAATAGAGATTGTAATTTAACTGATCTTGTAATATATATATATATATATATATATATATATATATATATATATATATATATGTAAATTGTCGTAAGATGGGAAAATTGTTATATTAATTCAGAATTTATGAGAATTTTCTACAGGATATGAATCGAAATCCATTTAAATTATCGTTTTGTTTATTGGTTCGGCTCGGCTCGACTCGATTTAATTATGTCTGGAGAATGATTGGTAAGTTTTTCTACAAGATTTTTTTGCTGGGAAACTTGTGCGATAATGCAATCATTCTTTGGCCTTTATCTTTTGGTCCACACCTTGGTGTGGTTGGCGAGACATCCGTACGGGTAAACTAGCAAGTTACCAAATTATTGCACAGAACAACTTTCTCAATGTTGACAGCGAAAGCCTTGGATTTTTTGACACGATGATCATGTTGCGCCACTTTTAGATGTGCTTCCGCAAATACCGTAAATAAATATAGTTATATGCATAATAATTGATGATCCTTATGGTTAAAACCTTACATCCGGTAAAAACAAAGTCCAACATTTGGCATTATTCTTATCACTTTGTAGTGGCTAAGAACAAAGTAAGTTAAAAAAACGTGTGGATACTCAGTTGACAAAGCACTTTGGTCTATTAACAAATAAAAGATACTAAAAATATTGATAAAATATTTCATGACATGATAGTCCCTATATAGTGATCAAATGTTTTAAGATTATATAAATAAGATGATAACTACGTGCAAATGAAAATTAGCAAATTAATAATAAATTAATTCGGTCAACAAAAAGAATTCATTGAAGAAAATAATTATTTTAAAAGAACTCGATAGTGTATATTTAATAATTATATGATGGTAGAGGATAATTGAAAAAGTTACATACCTTCTAATTGTGAAAGAGTTGCATAATATATAGATACATAATATCGTAAAATACTTTCACAAACAAGTGATGACGATCATTAAAAGACTATACATGACATAATAACCGTACTTGACGAATGGGAAAATGACACAAACAGTCCCTGAATTTTGGCCCAATGTGCAATGTGATCTCCAAACTTTTAATTTGTTCAATATCATCCATGAACTTTAATCAAATGTGCAATATGGTCCATGAACTTTTAATTTATTTTAATGCTGTCTCTGAATTTATGTTACATGTTCAATTTAAACCCTGAATTATATGAAAATATTCAATATAGTCATTTCATTAATTCAAGTTCAAGGATTACATTGAACATGTACCAAAAGTCTAGGGATCACATTGAATAAATTAAAAGTTCAAGGACCACATTAAACATTAGGCTAAAATTCATGGACTACATTGAACAAATTAAAAGTTCAGAGATCACATTATACATTAGGCCAAAGTTCAGGGACTACTTGTGTTATTATCCCTTGATGAATAAATAATATTAGAAGATTATTATAAATGTACATTTCATTTATACAAATATAAAGATCGAGACAAAAAATCGTGCATCATTTCACCAACAAACGGTGAAAATGGATATGTGTTCGGATTCTTTGAAGGAAAGGTAAGAAAATTTTGATGAACATTGTAAAGCGATCAACATAGTGCCGCCAACACACTAAAAAATTTTCCAATAATCTATTGGCAACTGTTGATATATTTTTTAATATTTTCAATTGTTTTTGTTTAACTAATATTACTATTCCATAAGGTATTTTAACAACAACAAAAAGTTCAAAGAATAGTCTATATCACACTTTAAGACATATTTATTGAAATGTTATCTTAACTTCTACACATTGTCTCGTACTCTTTTTTATTTAATATCAATTAATTCTCACAAAGACGATAAAGTATGAAGCCCCCATATTTCAGTATGGTGGCATGAATGTCTACATAAAATGTGAAATACTGTAACATGAATAAAAAAAATATATTGACCAAAAATCATGATACAACCAAATTAAAATTAAAAAAAAAATTGGAGAACTGGTTTACTTGAGGCATCAATACATGCAAAATATATCAACTACCAACTGTTGGTAACAAAATATTCACAAGAAAAGGAACAAATGTGTGAATATTCTTATTTTGAAGATAAATCAAGGGAATTCTAGATATATATGCATTCTTGGAGATTGCATATTTTCTGAAGATATCTAATAATTCTTTTTGTGATACATTGTCATGGATGACTAGAAATCATCAATTCTTGCCAAAACAAAAGATAAGCATAGGCATCAAAGGAACAATTCGGTAAAAAATGAACTCAAATATATGAAATTGAGAAGATGATGTCGAAAAATTCACATATGGAAGTTTAATAATGTTTATGGGGATTCAATACCCCGTGCTCTGTCTGTGTACAAGTCCTCTACCTCTAGTTTCAACAAGGATTGCAGGAGTTTTGGCGTCTCGCTAAACTACAAAGATTTGCTCTTCCAAAAGTTAGATCTATGTTTTTTCAACCCGTTTTGGTTGTCTCTATACGGCTATGGTGTAGAGGAAGCCGAACTTAAGGGAAAATTGTCAAATCAGTCCTAAACCTATTGTACGGCGGCCAATTCAGTCCTAAACCTTTTAATTTTGTCAATTCAGTCCTAAACCTTTCTAATTCTTGCCAATTCGATCCTTCCGGCCGTTTGACAGCCGCCGACGTGCATTGCCGGTATGACGTGGCCGGCGGCCAGCGTCGCAATATTGCCGAGAGGTAATTTTTATTATTTTTTTTTCAATTTTTTAATCTTTTTTTTTTCTGATTTCTTCCTCTGGCCAATCCGGCGACCGGCGGCCGGCCAGAGGGAAGGGCCGGTGAGGTTGACCTCGCCGGCCTCGCCACTGCTGAGGCGAGGCCGACCTCGCCGTCGCATGGGGCGCGACGGCGAGGTCGAGCCTCGCCGGATCCGGGCGAGGCTCGACCTCGCCGTTGCGACCAGCGACGGCGAGGTCGGCCTCGCAGCTGCTGGCGAGGCCGACCTCGCCGTAGCCTGGTTCGCGACGGCAAGGTCGAGCCTCGCCCGGATCCGGCGAGGCTCGACCTCGCCATCGCGCCCCGAGCGACGGCGAGGTCGGCCTCGCCGCTCGCCGGGCGAGGCGAGGCCCGCAGCGGCGAGGCCGACCTCGCCGTCGCAAACCGGGCGACGGCGAGGTCGGCCTCGCCTCGGCGGCGGCGAGGTCGACCTCGCCGGCCCTCCCCTCGGCCGTCGCCGAACAGGCCAGAGGAAGAAATCAGAAAAAAGAAAAAAAGAAAAAAAAAGATTAAAAAATTGAAAAAAAAATAATAAAAAATTACCACGTCAGCGTTGGCCGGACGGCCGGCGCCGGCCGGCCAAAATTGGCCGGAAGGACTGAATTGGCAAGAATTAGAAAGGTTTAGGACTGAATTTGCAAAATTAAAAGGTTTAGGACTGAATTGGCCGCCGTACAATAGGTTTAGGACTGATTTAACAATTTTCCCGTAGGCATGCACCGCCAACTGGCAACGTCATAGTTATTAGAGAAGGAATTTTCAGCGTGTGCTCATCACTAATGATAATACAAG